TTTCAAAAGGACTAGAATTTAACATTGAAAGGAAGGGTATTTGTTATCCAGCACACAAGAAAGATTATCTGAAGAACGCGACTCCAATCGATAAAGATTTGAAGTCTCAACATCACAAGCAATAAACTCGAATAATAACATGGGATGTTTTCACATGGGTGAAAGAGGTGATCAAAGCGAAAACACGCTGTTCGCCCACCATCTTATGGTTTGTGAGTTGAATCCCGCCACCACAGACTTGATTTTTTTATTTCTTTTAGCCTTCAATTGGAAGCCAGCCCTCTTCATGAATATTATTGGGACACTTGATTGGGTGGTTTAGTCGCTGTCGCTATGCTTGGTCCGAGGTTCGAGCCCCGCCACCGTCACCGGCACCTCACTTTAGTGGTAGGCAGCTTTGCTATTGTCCCGTTCCAAACCACGCCTAACCCAGAGGTACCCTATGTGGTCCGCGGCTTAGATTACCAGTCTCCATCAATGAACAGCAGGTCCTCATGGCTATGGGGTTCGCCCCGTGTGCTGCCCATATTAAACACTAAAGTGTTTAATAAAACAGACCTCAGATAAACGGAAGTAAAACATTCCTAATGTTGATTGAAACTGATCATTTAAGCAGACTTCACCTTCACGCACATCACTCACTCCGTTCTTCCAGTCAACCATACACTCAGTAGGCACTGTGGGCTCGAGTTTCCCTCATATTTGAGCTCATCTGTGGTGCACATCCACCGTCCCGTCCGGGATTTGAACTCCTAACTTCCTAATATTATTAAAAAACGACGATTGTCATAAAGGGTCATTGGGGATTCCACAACCTGGCAAAACTCGTAGGGGTATACAAACTAATCATAAAGCGGGATCCTTACTTAAAAGCATTATGAGCGGAATAAAAGTGAACGGAAAATCAAACGTGATCAAACAATCCTAAAATTGAATAAACTTAAAATATTTCCGATTGAGGGAGAAATTCCCGGTTGACTATGCATGGGAACGCAGGAGGTAAATAGGCTTTTGTAGATGGAGAACAGGGGATTCACTAAGTGGTTAATTGCATAATATCAATATAGTTATTGAAATTGCTGACGCTATGAGATCATACTAACGATGTGTCTGAGGCTGATCAATGCTTGTTCATTAGAGGCGAGGAGATTTTACGCGTATATGGCCAAGGTAGACATTGATTTTACACAATGTTTCTAAGCACACAACGGGGGAATGGGGCTGGGGGAGTAGTTAATTGAATAACAATCGTTTCTGCTGTGAATGAAAGATAACCCTCAATATATTGTGAGTATTTTTCTCTGGACCATGTAGAGCGAAGAGAAAGATTGACTGGATCACGGAAATCGATTGATTGACTGACTGTAGTCTGAATGCACTCACCCCGGTCCTGTTTGCCCCTGAATTCAGCCAACAATTATTTCTGACTCAACCCAAATGGACTAGTGTTGGATACCAATAATTATTGAAACATCATCCATACCTCTGGAAGTCTGAGAACGCAGCCACATTTGTTATACGTGCATATAACTGACCTTGGCCTACATACCAATCAGCGAACCTTTTTTATCGAGACCATGTAGTCACCGAATTGGGAACTCAGAATGCTTTGAACTAAAATAATTAAAATTGATCGATAATGTCAAACTATTGTGGCTCCTAAATCCGGCACTGGTTCTGTGACCAAAAGAGGCAACTCACTTACGATCAGCTGACCAGGTGAATCCGCTCTCACACACGCCTAGGAGAATCCAACGAATTACTTTGTTTCACATAAGTAACACGTTAAAAACCTTAATCATGAGCGCCCTCTCTCTCTGTCTTTGCTAAGAGCCCACCCTCCCCCGCCAACCCCGAGCGTTATCTTGGAAGGCTCAAAAACAGTCCGTGATTTGTCCTGATTAGTCCCACCCCTCGTTGGTCTCATTCGGCCCAATTGGAACGTGCCTAAAGCTAGAGGTAATCGGATGCTAGTGCACGCCTAATTAAAATACACCGAGGAATGGCATGAACTCAAATGTCACAAGAATGTATCGTTTTTTTATATGTTCAAACGAAAATGGAATCTTCGGAAATGGATACAGCTGATCGGAGCTAGCCTTCTGGGTTGTAGAAAGCCTGACGGAAGAGAATAAGTTAACTGGCAATGATTAATTGATTGCTAGATTGATTGATTCACTTCAGTGTTGGAATCATGTCATCAGGCAAGACTCGAGAATTGATTGACAGAGAGTGTAATTATCGACTAAATTAAATTACGATTATATCACCGTTAAAAGTAGGAAGCTTATAGGAGTGCAACTCTATATGCGAGTCACTTGATCCTGTCATTCGCTGCAATGTTCAATTCATTGTAACTTTCTCGACAGCGCAACGATCAGTTTTCCATTTCATTCTTCTCGGTGATTTATACCCTGTTCACAAATCTAATCCTTTGTCTGGTTCTGTCAAAATGGTGCAAATGATCTCGACAACGGATTTTCCAGTGTGCTGCGTTAAAATTCGTCCAAATTTGTCCGGAATATGCATGACACAGTTCTATCCGAGACAGCATTTCTACAATCTGAGATCGATCAGTTTTCAAGAAACGGATCATAATACACCTATTTAGTTTAGCTCTGAACCACCTCAAGTTTTTTGGTGTTATTCTCACTCCTCGATCTTATTTTGGTGAGTTGACGCATCCCACCTATCAAATTCTGGGATTAGAGAATCTAAGAAACGACTGTGTTTCGGTTATGCGTCTAGCATTTTGGATTCGTAAACTGAGTAAGTTCACAGTATATTGGATACTATACTTTAGCCCTCGCCCACCCATCCACCCACCCATCTGCCTGGTCTAGGGTTTACAAGGAATTCATTTGAATTCGCCTAATGTATCCATTCAATGTAACCATCATCGCCCATGTGGAGGTTGCAGAATTTCGTTGTTAACTTTCTGCGCTGTGTTATTGCGTAGGACGAAAATTTGACGGTGTTCATCAATTCTCTTTGCAGTAGTGTGTCCGGTATATACGTGAATCGATATCGAATAGAGAACCGGGACGGGTGAGATGTTCCGTATTTGGTGAACTGATCAACGCGATTCTAACATACGCTGATTAAATGAGGGGGGAGGAAATTTGCCGCTGGACTTTGTTGAATGTTTTTCCACAATTTCGAAGGGGTTGTTTCTCGGTACGGAATAGTAAATTAGTCCGCTTTCTTTGCCGCCTTCTGAAATTCACTCTGATTTTGTTTTTATTTTTGGCGTTTGGAAAACTTGGCCCTGAATTTCCAACTTGGCATAGGATCTCACGCGCGTTTTATCTATTTCAGTTCTCAGTGTGGATGAACTGCATATCGTCTTGACTAGTCAAATAGATTACGTATCGTTTTCACCTCATTTACAGATAGCTAAACTAACGGGAGCATTGTCAAATAGCCTTTTTGGGGTTTACGTAACAAACTTCATATCTTTTTAGACGATTCGAATCGATTCAACGTATTTTGAAGACCCAGAGAGGGGAAAAGTGATTTTCCTCGACCGCAAGCTAAACAATACTCTCGGATGGGCATTATTAAGTGTTTATCTCGTGCGCGGAATCAGAAAATTATCTTTGTTTTTACTGTTACCCGAGATTCCGATCTTATCATTGTTTCCGGTCATGTACCGGAACATGAAGCCTTTCGTCTCTAACAATGGGGCAATCTTGATCCGTGTTGTCGTATCAAGGAAGAACAGGATATTGCTCAAGACAAAACACCACAATTCTTAAGTTGTTCGACAAAACTGAGTGAAAGAACTCGAAGCAATGATTTCCCTGAATAAATTTGAAAAAAGCCAGTAGTGTTATGCAAGGTGTCTGCTGCAGCGACATTTCTGTCGCATATCATCAGTTACTTCATGCGAATTACAATCTCATTTATCTGTATTCGGATTAGGAGAAAAAAAGTGTTGGTAAACTAGTTGCACTGTCTTGGGAACAAGTTGTATGAATCCCGCCTTTGAATCTATTTGTCACCCTACCTATAAACATACATAATGTCCATTTGTAATTCACATGAAGTAACTGATGATACGCAAAAGAAATATCGCTGTAGCAGACGTTTTGCATAACAACATTAGTCTTTTTTAAAACTGAATGAGTATTTCTCGCCCTATTTATCGGACGTTCTAAAACCTGTGATTCCAGGATTTCCAATGACCACTGGTAAACTATAATATTCATATCAGTTGATCGCTGCATAGGTACCTGAGGGGTTCTTTACCTCGGTTAAGACATTCGGTTTCGGCAGCTGTGAGCCACAAGGCAGTAATGTGAATCCCTTCACCTCCGGGCTTTGCCATTAGTTTTCAACGATAATCTCCTTGCATTCTATCCCTCTCTGATTTACATTTCAAAATGAAAATTATCTTTTGTCAACCAATCAAGATTGCAGCTTGATGTTATAGTCAGAATGAGACAATATTACTCATCCAGTTCGTCTTTTGTACGATTTAGATAACATTAGATCTAGGTTGGTGATCAGCTGTTGAATCGCCTCTGTTTTGTGCTTTGGCAGAATCCCGGTAGCTTTAAAACTTCGTCTCGTGATATGTTTACTAACCATATGGTTTAACGACGACGTCAGATGATCCGTTGATTGAGCAGGCAAGGAGGCGAGAGCTACAGATCCGTGAAGTCACTGAGTTAGGGTCGCGTTTGGTGGGCACTACCTTGTTTGATTTCCTGTTACCCTGTATGCCCTCCCCTCTTCTGCGATAGATTTATTGGGCTCTCATAAAAACAAACAGTATAAGTCCTGTGTTATTACTTTATCTACACCGTAGGCTTTCATAGAAGCACATCTTTTATTGGATGACTCTTACCGGTAAAAACAAATTGGTTTGTCCATTGTTGGTGAGCGGAAATTTTCGGAATTCGGATCTCACTTTTTGAATCGCATTCTCATTCGGGAAAATCAGGAGGCTACCGGAATCTGTCGATGCAGCACAAACTGTTGCCGACACGGAAGGGGAATTGGTAACTGTGAAACGGCATCTTGGCCCCCGTCCATTTTGATGAACATTTACTTGTCTTGGTTTTCCACATCGCAAAATATCTCTCAATCAATCAACACACAGGAACCACCCACACATGCACTAGCTGGTTAAACGTGTAAAAGTTGGAGTATCACGATGTTATTTGACAATGGAATGGGTCAAAAACGTGATTGTTGACCAACGAGGCTATGTGAAATCCCATCCCCTTGCCATTCACACACATAAACAGAATCATCTATTAAGTTTCAAAAGGAGGATTTTCCATTTTGGCTACCGGTATGTTCATCCTTTAGTGTAGCCACATTTTATCAATTCCGTATCCAGTTAACTTACGACAGACACATACGTACACACACACAAACAAATATATATATATAGTATTTCCTTTTCAAGTAGGTCATTATCTGGTAGATGGTTTACAAAAGTGAGGATGCCGTGCTCTTCAGATTGCTTGAAATATTTGGTGATAATTGATAGTTCTGATATCATATTTTTTGTTCGCACCAGGCAATGGTGTCTGATCCTAATGGTCATCTCACGGATGCGCGGGTGTGAGCCAGGGATTACAAAAACAGCAATATCATATCGATCGCATCCGTAATAACAACTTTCAACAGACACAGATGATAGTTAATCGTTGATCTTCGAGTTCAAACAAAACTATCGGACGAACAATGATACGCTCATAATTACTGTCTCCACATAGTTGCTGGCTGCACCTCATCCGGTCCGTTAATTCACTCCACTTCATTCGACATGGTCCCCAGCCTGCCTTCTCACCACTATTGCCAGTCTACCCCCGACCTGAATTACATTTTACAGAAGCTTGCTTGATCACGACGGAAAAGATAGGCGCGCACGAACATATATATATGCAGGCACACACCAGTGCTTTGCACTCAGCCGAACTGGCGAAACGCCATTTCAAGGTCAAACAGAACATTCCGAGTAGTTTTATTGATATAGTCCTCAGATCGATTAAGATATATCTGGGTGTTTGTGATGTCTTATAATCGACTAAATGTTGAACTGAACCCAGCTTTATCACCTATCACATTTGTGTAAAAGTGAATGCCACAGAAAGAATGTGCGCGAGCATAACAACTGAGGAGCAGGTTCGATCCGCGCTCATTTGTAACAATACACCATAAGCGGTAGTAGTAGTAGTAGTAATAGTAGTGATGGTCACATCGTGAAGTGCTACTCATACTTGTAAGCAGTATGCAAAATAGTTGGTGGTTTCTCTCAATGATCAAAAATTAACCAGACCACCGAGGGTAAAGTGCTGTGTCTCAAAGAATAACTACCCACTGCTCCATGCATTACCTGGCGTGCTGCCAGGAACTGCGATGATATGTTTCAAATCAGATTTATGTTATATGTTTGCTAGATTAATGATATCCTAACTATCATTTGCAATAAACAACTTCCCTCAACTGAGCGCCATCTTGTGGAATTATAACAGTAGTACTTGTAGCAATGCTATAAATCCAAAAGATGGTACCGGGACGAGTGTAGGTATTTATTAAGAATAACGATTAGGGTATCCGTAAAATAGGATACATACAACAAAGTATCTCATTTGGAACGAGTTTTCAGAATTTCCACAAGTACGCACACAAATACACATGATAATTTTTGAAACAGTCCCACAGTAGATGCCAATTCTTGTGGTTACCATATCGAAGACAGCTATTCGCTCCAACAGGTTTTGTTCATTTTCAACCGTTGAAAGAAACCGCCAACTGCGTCCTTTTGCGTATTACTCACAGATGTGAGTAGTACCTCACAACAGTAGTAGTGTTAGTTGCAGAAGCAGCAACAATCGTAGTGACTCAATTATTGAAACGTTGTTATGTAAATGAAAGCAAAACGTTTGTACTGTGTGTATCTTTCGCACCCCACCCCACCCCACCCCACCCTGACACACAAAGGTGTATCACATGATCCTCTGTGTGTGTTCCTACGTTCGTTCGTTACTGCATCCCTGGGGAAAGAAAAGGGGACGCTATTTAGCAGTCTGGATTCCCTTTTGTGTTTTGGCACAGTTTAGGGCTTACTATGCTTGTTCTTTCGATCGCGCATACGGGTCCATTGTTATGCACCACTGAGAGAGAGACCACCTTGGTCGGGTGGATGTTGATCGGGAACGCCAAAGTGTGCATTACTTAAAAAGAAATGAAATAAATTTCGGACCGGGGGAAGCGTTTTGTAATGAACTTACACCACTCTGCTGGGAACGGTTTAGCACTACAGTGTTAACGGGAGTAAGTTCAGGGGGGGGTAGCATGAGAGATCAGAGTGGATAAATTGAAGTTGGTTTCGTCATTATCGGTTGTTGTGGCTGCTGCTGCTGTTTCGATTGTTCTTAGTGGTTCGGTCGAGTTAATTAAGCCCTAGTCAACGGTGTGCACTGAGCCCAAGGATTTAACATTCGAACCACCTCGTCTTGGTGATTGGCTGTTCGTTGTAGTTCAGTTTTTTTTATCACTCTAACCCACTCCACCCCAGCCCCGTATCATATTGTTCTCAGGGTAATGGTTGCCATCCACTAATAGTGGCTTATCTTTACAATAACCTTCATTCACTTCTTGTGCACTTCACTTACACCAAGTAGTGTACTGCATAAAGTACATATATAGCTCATCTACAGACTTAGTTTGAAGGAGTATGAACCAAGAGACAATTTATAAATTTATTCAATTTGTCCATATGAGAATTTAATTTTCTGTTGCGCAGTTTTGTCACCGAAATTCGAACGAAAACTGTCTCACTTTTATACTTGTCAGCAANAGCAATGTTTCGGAGCATAACGACGGCGTGGGCCACGGATGGGGAGCGGGTTGCAATTGTCTGAAACGGCATAACTCTCTCACACACACAACTTATGCCAAACAAATATAAATAGGCACACTTTATTCTCTCTCTCCCTATACTCTTCGCAAAATCTTTCAGCATGCATATTTAATCAGGAGCTGTTAGAGAGCTCATTCGGAACCGGTGTGATCGACAGATGCATCGTGAATCTCGTGACCTCGACCTCAACCGGATGTTCATCAATAACCATGTGTGTGACACGAGTCGTTTGGGTGATAGATACTCTCTGTCGACCTTAACGATGACAACAACAAAAAAAGTAATAAGCAATCAAACAAGCGACAAGTGTTAGAGGAAACACTCAGTTTGCCCGATACAGTTAACTCTATGCAGAGTAGGAGGGGGCGGGGCGGGG